AACCCCCGAAACAGTCAAACTACCCTTTATTCTGGGGATAAGGTTCGCCTTCCAATCGTCAGCCAGTGATTCTCCTTGAGCTTCTTCCACTTGGCGGCCAAATCCGCACGACGAGCCTTCTCCTGGAAAGATTGGACGTAGAAGCCCATTAATAGTTTCAGGTTGGGTTGCTGACAGCATGACCCAAAAGGGCAAGCTGGCTTCGACACAACGCCGGCCAAGAACGTCATCGGGGTGTACGATGATTCAGCAACCCCACAGAGGGGAAGCCCTCTGGCTTGTCGGGCTTGGGCAACGATCCTCCAATTCAGCTATAGGTCAAAACTGTTTTAAGTGGGGGCCCTCAAGTGCGGCGCTGGCTTTTCGGCGCCCTCCGATGCGTATGTGTCCAAATAGTTGAGCGTTTTTGTAGTTGTCCCTTTAGCGGTCCCTTTGGTGTGCCTTTAAACTTTACACGCCCAAACACGTGGTTTTCCCTTTGGTCTTCCTTTAAACCAAGCCAAAAAACGGCACCCTCCAAACAAACACGTACCGGACTGGTCCACTCGAGCCCACCTGCTCCAGCTTGGCGGTGAGGTCGGTCCTCTCCAACTGAAGCTGAGCCACCTGTCCCGTGGCAAGATTTGAGCTTGAAACATTGATCAAAACCACCAAATGTTTGGTTTCATGGAGGGTTCCTTGAAAAAAAGCCTAGCTTTGACAAGGTCAACCTGACATTTGCGCAAATTTGCTGCAATAGCAGTTTCTCACCCCTATCTGTACTCATGACAGGTCGAAATTGCTCACACGATACATGGATGGACGCTGTGGCTTGTTCCCAAAATGAGCATGAGCATGGGAATAAAAGGGATGTGGTAAAACTGGAGACCCTCTTTCACGGTCAACTTGAAACAGAAAGCAACCTGCGACCCCTGCCTTTTGGCGGTCCTTCCTAGTTCTGACACAAACTCATGACTCCATGACCATTCAATCTGCGATTCTACCAAAACATCCTTGAAGTAAGGGATCAATAGGCAAATGCGCCTCGTTCTGCACCTTGGTCAACTGCAGCTTCAGATCCTGCCACGGATATCGTGTGCGTTTGAAAGCGCGCGGATGCGTAAGCCCTTCAAGCCATTTTGAGGGGCACATCGAGAGACACATCGATTCCGACGCACCACAAAGGCATGCTCTTTGACTCACATTGGGCGGGGAACATTGATGCATCAACCGGGCTGAGTGACAAAAAAGCTGCTCACACTCGACAGAGCGGGACCGTAAGGAAAACAGCAGCCAGACATGTTGTCTTGAGAAAGATGCGTCCGCAAGAACAATCCCCCACACACTGAAAATTATTGGATCTGCAAAATTATTCTGCTTACCTCAGAACTGTGGCCCCTTTGACTCGTTTGCAATGACGGGTTGCGATGTGTTTGCAAACGGAAGGCTTTTGACAGATGTTTCAAAATCTTGATTTTGACTAACATAGCTCTTTATGCACCTGAAGGTGCTTCGCCTGCCAACAGAAAGCCACATATGTTCTTAAAATGCTCACAGCAATGGTTCTTGTGCATAGTGTGTGTGTGTGTGTGTGCAATGCTTCGGGATGCCCATATATTCATAGGCGAGCCTGTGATGGAACAATCACCGCCCCGTCAACACTCTCATGTGAGAAGCGCCCAAAACGACTAATGTTTCATTCCTACAAGATGGCTATAATGGCGCATAGGCTTCGCCAAGATCTATGAAACCGGAGAGTAGACAACCTCGAGCTAAATTGGCCCACAGGGGTTTTGACGCTTCTCATGTCACGTGGCCTTCTCACAATTACACCCACCGTATGTAGGCAAACTTACTCCCTTTGGAAGGGCCCGCGTCTTAACGTAGGAAGGTACAGACCTCCCCGGCCTCCCTCCCGCCTTGTGGGCTCCCTCCGCAGCATCCACCTTGGCTTGCACTTCGTCGTTCCGGCTCTTGGCCTGCGGGGGAGGGACAGGCGAACGCTTGTGGCCGCGCGGGGCTGCCTTGTGTGTGTGGGGGGTGTATGGTGGATCCACCGTAAAGGTCGTCAACCCCTCCATAGGGGGACGACACAGAAGCTCTGACAGTGGCTGACTCAACGAGCCATGGCCTCCTAAGCCTTAGGTCTTATGGAGGGCTTGTCGGCTTATGCACCAATTCACCCCGAAGACCCAGCCAGCTTGGTCTTCCAATACAATGACCAGAAGCACTGGGACATACGGTGGCCAGTGCAAATATTCCGCGCGTTGTGCTCTTTTTGTTCACAAAAGATGCAAGCACTAAACCAACTTGTTCAACCATGCCACTGCTACATTCAAGCTTGATCATGTGAGTGTAAATCTAGGGACCCTGCAAAATGGATAGTGTCCCTTTAGTTTCCCTTGAAAGACCAAGACAGAACGCGGGAGCATCAAAACAGGTACACCCATATGCCCTCAATAGCAAATTTCAGCACTCAACTGTAGTTGGCATCAAGACCCCTGCTCCCAACTGACCTTCGAAGGGGTTCACCCCTCGCTTTGATGAACTACGTTCTGTCAACAAGGGGGAGATGCATTGAAGCCCTTTGCCTTCATAGGCGTGCAGTTGAGGGATATACACAACAAGCCCAAGCGCTCAATCTGCTACTCGCAACCAGTACCGGTCATCAAGCGAACATGTGGGACCACGTTAGCAGCTGGAAAGAATCTAACAGCGCAAGCTTGACGGAAGTACCTGCGGCAATCATACTGCCAACTTGAAAGTAAATATCATATCAGTATGATTATCATTATCCTGGCATGTACACATATACACGTAGTGTATACAATGTAAATCTATGCATTTTGCTTGTACATGCAAAACCACATGTACATGTACTCTCGCAACCCGTGTATCCCGCCGCCGTAGTTTCATGAAGGCAACAAGGGCTTTAAAGGGTGACTCGTTGGGACGAGTGGGCAGGAGACCATCCAGCCGTCCGTCAGTCGCTCGCGATGGCATGCCACAAACGGCTGCCAGCCCCATTTTGGTTCGAGCATTTCACCCACGGCCGCGCTGCGATGCAATAGTTGGCTGCGAATTGGACCGGATTGGCAGCAGGGCATGTTTGGTTCTCTGTTGCGATCTGAAAGCCAAGAGAAAGCGTGCATTTGAGCAGCTCCCAACTTTGATCTCGTGAAACCAATGCTCAGCCCAAACTTCCGGTCCACACACTGCCTTTGCTAAACCTGATCCCTATGACAGGGGTCAGGGTCAGACTCGGACTACGGATGCCACACGTGCGAACGGCGCCCTAAGCCTTGAGGTCTCGAGCTAGCTCTGAATGCTGTTTTGGAATGGGTCATTACAGTCTTTAAGCTCTCCATCGAACTAATGATGTCTGGGCAACCCTTTTCAGTGCAGCAACATCATCCTGATAGTCATTGAAGGGAGTCAGGTCTAGCAGAGTCTAGCGGCGGTGCAAGGACATGGAATCAATATTTGCCAAACACCAGCAAGCAAACAAACAAGCAGGCCATTGTGCAACTGCCTCCCTACAAGAGCAATGCGAAAGAGGCCCCGTCAGCACATCAATTCGGCCATGCTGTTACCGAGGATAGCGCAGATCTGGATGAGTCTGACTTGCAACCCGACTGGAAACTGGTTTGAACATGGACCAACGGAACACGAAGGGTCAAAAGGGGCCACCATCAGGCTGACATTCGCACAACCTAGCTATTGTTTTGCCGCCATTGGCTGTCTTGACAACAGGTTCTGAAAAGAGAAACTCCTGATGTCGAATGCTGCTCGACGAGATTAAAGGATTCTAAAACACAGCTTGTCAAGGTGACTTTCAAAAGCAATCGGTCCTGTTCACTCCAAGTGTCGTATATATCCCTTCGGAACCCAATTGTGGGTAAAGCTTTGGGACCTGTTTCACTGCCGTGCCCTGCCGCCATTCAAGTCACCATTCTGTCAACCCTACGACTGGCAAAAACTTGAGCTTGGGGCACAGAAACTCCCGGACCATTGCGCCGATGAGCGCGATCGATGGCGCGCGGATCACTTCCCAGCTCTGCCTCCCTGGCGGACGCAAAACCCGTACAGCTGGGCCCTGTGATTTCCATTGTCAACATCGCCAGGAGGCCATTAAGGGAAACGGCGCCAGTTTTTTTTTTTTTTTTTTTTTTTTTTTTTTTTTTTTTTTTTTTTCCGAGTCTTGTTGTCCATGTCCCTAGTAGCTTAACATCATGGGCCCACGCAGTAATTAGACTGGCCTGCTCCACCAACTTCTCGAACAAGTTGAAAAGAGCCCAAGGCAAGGGGAATGTGGCACCAGTAATCGGAATCCTTCACTTGGCCAAAGGATCCATCAACGAAAGGTGAACCTTTTGGGATTCGGACCAAGTGATCAATGTCAAGCCAAGACAGGTCAACGGTCAAAGGTGCCTTCTGACTGAGATCCCTGCGAAGGTGCCCAAACCTGTGGTTTCGATCATGAAGATCACTCAGGTTTATGAGGGTTCTGGACCTGACACATGTGAGCCGTGTCAATCGTCTTGCTTCTAGCAACCACGCAGAATACCTAACACGCCAGTAGCAGGCGTCACTCGTTTATTGTTTTCGAGTGGACGATTTTGACCGTTGCTGCCAGTACCAGCTGCAACTTTCTAGAGTCTTGTGCGATTGCCCCAGGCCTGCCCGGGATTGCACCTAATGACACCAACTTGCCCAAAGCCTGAACGGGTGGTCCCCACGGAACAAAACATATCTCTTTCGGGGTCAATAAATAACCAACTAAACCCAAATACCCACAATATATAATTTCGCAATGGCTGCAATCGCGAGTCATTCAAGCCAAACTTGACAAACCGGGAATGGGAAGCAAACGGTAACCAATAGCTTTCCTTTGGACAAAGGGCTTCGCCCCAAAACGGAGCTGAACCAAACCAAACAATGCGGACACTTGTTTCGCATCGGCTGCTCGGCTCAACATCGACTCTTCCGCCAAGGTTATGCCGGGACCGCCAGCTCCTAACTCAGCAGGACAAAAACCTCTTGCCGCTGCTATCCCGAATGGACACCCACCTCAGCAACGAAAGCGAGAACTCGGCTACCGCAAATAGAAACGTGGACGGTGGCAACCAAGAAGGTCAAAAGAAAAGAAGACACCAACAAATGGCAAGAGTTGCCTTTTGGCGTGTGAAAGCGGACCTTAAGGCGTCCGGCTTTACCCTGCTTGCCACTTGGCTTGTGCAACTCGACGGGGCCCTTAAAATAGCGCACCCCCAAAATGGTGGCTTTCCTTTTGGTCTCCTTTTAAAACCACCCCAACATTGTACCCTTGACAAAAACGTTGTACATGTATGACACAACGTCGCAAGTACAGCCAAGCTGGCCTGTCAAATGATTGCACCAGCCACAGGCAGCCCCCCTCCTCTGTCGGGATTCGTACATGACACTAAGAATCCCAAAGGGAGTCCTGGTAAGATCAAATGTCCAAAGGCTCACCTTCAATTTTGGCCGAGCTTGGGACACCAGCTCAACAAATGTCAACATGTTGATCTGCTTTGGGCAGAGGTTGCAGACTCAAGCTACCAGTAGCTTTCTGGACACCTGGACATTCCTTTATCACGCAATCTCTGGCCTGTGGGCTCCAAGCTCCCTTCGAACAAAGACACACCCGGGTATGTGAGAGAGTCGCAGAGGCGCAGCTGGCAAAGCGCCCAGATCGCTTTTCTTTGCTTAGATCGATAGTCAGAAACATATGGCGTTCAGATCCGCCAATCCATCCTCTCTCGGCGTCCTGGCACATGTCGCGGATCTTTGCGTCAACAAGTGCTGTATATCCAGCAAAATTGGCGATGTGTCTTTTTATGACATCGAACAGACCTTCGAACAAGAACTATTTGACTTCAATACATTGAATCCCGGCCTTCTAAAATGCCTATGAGCCATCATGGTTTCGATGAGAGTACAGGTGGATATTGAAGGTTCGCGTCATGGCACACCGCTGTTTGGTGGTTGGACTTTCTCAAGAAATCATTCTGGCAGCTTTGGTGGCTTCCCTCCGCTGGCTTGCATTCCATCGAGGTGCTGAAATAGCATCACGACCTCTCGCAATCCCATCTAGACACCTGCGCTCTCGAAGCCAGAGCAGTTGCCAATGAGGTGATCTCCGTATAATTTTGCTTTGACAGTGGTGAGCAATATCCAAAACCCCTGAAAAAAGAAGCCACACATTCAGGAGTAGTGGGTGAGTACTGGGCTGCTCCCTGCACCAGCTCGGCGGCGCTATGGCCCAAGTTTGTTATTCGCCTTGAACCCTCTGACTCCACAGATATCCTGGTCTTTGTGTGAGCAACTCTGTTTAAAATATCAAGACATTGAGAAACCTAAACTGTGGGTACTTCACGGTCTTGGAGTGATGGATAGGATTATTTGGTTGTTGAATGAAGTCGGCGCTCACGAAACGTGCCTATGAAGGGCGATTCCAAACTAGCAGATTGTTCACAACTCCCATGTTCAACCCATACAACCTAAAACCACTGCTCTGAAGGCGCAAACCCTGTTTGGAAACCCAACAAATGGCTGCATGGGTGTGTGGAAACATGCCAGTCCCTGTAGCCTAAGCTCAAGATGTTTCGATATTGGATATCTCGAGTGTAGTTGAGTTGCCCTAAAGTCAAGCCTCCTCGATGATTATCCAGGTGCTCCTTTCAGCGGTCCCTTTGATTGCCCAAATAGTTACTTTCAAGAGTTCACCATCTCGGCAACTGAAGCCACAACATGTTGCAGACAAAAAGTACTGTAAGCATATTCCTCGTAGTTGTTCATGTGGCTGCTCGGCTTGCCTTTTACTTCGGGACTGAATTAATTCGGTTTGCGTGTGCGACAGGTTGATCAGCGCTTGTCCCCAGGCCTCGGCTGCTATCGACGCCTGGTAAAGCTGGCCAACAGAGGCGTGTGGCTCGCGCGTCAAAAGAGCGGAGTTGCGAGGAATTACCGTGGATGGACAAAATGCGCGTCATGCCAGTTGGTAGGAGGGTTATCCCTTCCCAATACTAGGCCTTTCATCCATCCAAGCGGTGCAGGACTTTGTCCAGCTGTAAGGTGTACTAGTTGACCCCTCTTCAACAAGGTATCTGATTGAAGAAATCCCTTGAAGGGATCCACTCAAAGCCGTCTCCACTTCCAGCCTGATTCCGCTTGACAGAAGTTGAAGGGTCCACAAGCAATTTTGGGGGGGACTACGGGGTTCCTTTCGTGAGCCGAGCCAAATCAGGGACGGGACCAAGAATGACCACCCTCTGATAGCCATTTGTTGTGGGCATCACGTCGGTTGAGTAGAAGTCAAAGTCCTTCCGAGAGAACATTGGGACCGCTAGGTAGTTGGTTTGTACTGTGTGTGTAAGGGAAAACGTATCTTTCTTTCCCGCTGCACATTAAAATTACAAAATACCCTTTGCTGTTGGTTGATTCTTGAAAGAACCCAAAACACAACATTACAAACAAAAAACACTCGCCAACTGCATGAACCCGCCTAGGCCTGCTTGAGTTCATGTTCCCCTTGAAACCGTCCTCAAAAGGGTTCCTCACTCGCTGCAACAGCAGCAGCCCGGCCTGTAGGCTACCGGCAGCGCGAGTAGAGCAGCTGCCTGGTGGGCCGCCAGGCACGGGCGTTTGCTTTAGAGCCTTACAGTCTTACCGCTGCAGTTCCTCATTTCCAGGGATCCGTGTCCTCAAAGAATCACCAAAGGATGGGTAACAACAATGATGAATCAGCCGCCAGAAGCATGGTGCAGTCTGGGAGGAGCAACGAATCAAAAGGTATGTGACATCATGCCAGCGCATGTTTTGGTCACACCTCATATGCAACCTAAAGGCTGCAAGCAAGCAAGCAAGCAAGCAAGCAAGCAAGCAAGCAAGCAAGCAAGCAAGCAAGCAAGCAAGCAAGCAAGCAAGCAAGCAAGCAAGCAAGCAAGCAAGCAAGCAAGCAAGCAAGCAAGCAAGCACGCACGCACGCACGCACGCACGCACGCACGCACGCACGCGCCAGCGCGCTCGCACGCTCGCACGCAAGCAAGCAAGCAAGCAAACAAGCGAGCACATCACACACACACACACACACACACAAAGAAGAAAGGAAACTACAAAAGCTCCGTCTCTGCTTCTCCTAGGCCCAGGGCGCGGGCTGCCAGCGGCGCACTTTGGTCCGGCTCCCGCTGGGCTTTCTGCCTGGCGTTGCCCACCGCCTGGCGGAAGCGGTGGGAGGAAGCTGGAGAGGGGTGGGTGAATTGTTGAAAGCAGGAGCACATCTTGGCACGTAGTGTTTCCTTCCAGTCTTGCGTGAAAACAAAGGGTAGTTATTCTTCATGCACATACATATTTATATGTGTATATACACACACATATATATATATATGTCAATGTATCCATACAATGCATATACTATATGTATCGAACCACCGGGGGATTGTCAAACATACACAGAGGGGACCCCGAAATGGGTGGTGTGACTTTTACTTCAAACAACCCCCAAAAGGGGTACCCCAAAACACTCCCACGCACCGCACGCACGCACGCACGCACGCAGGCACCCACGCGCCCACTCACCCACGCACGCACGTACGCAAGCAAGCACTTTCGCACGCACGCACCCATGCACCCACGCACCCAGGCACCGACCCCGCACACACGCACGCAAGCACGCACGCAAGCACGCACGCAGGCCCACACACCCACGCACACGCACGCGCGCCCACGCACGCACACACGCAGGCACGCACGCACGCACGCACGCACGCACGCACCCATCACGGACCCACGCACCCACGCACCCACGCACTTACCCAGGCACGCACTCACACATGCACGCACGCCATCACGCATGCACCCATGCAACCACCCACGCACCCACGCACCCCACGCACCCACGCACGCACTCACGCACCCACCCATGCATACACCCATATGGGCCCCTATTCACTTCTATGTTAGGAGTCAACTCACGAAGTGCCCTTTAAAGGGGTACAAGTCCCCACTTCCTTTCTCAGGGCAACTCACTTAACATTAATTTCAACTTCAAATGTTTGACAAGCAGGCAGTCTGGCAATTGGGAAAGGATCTAACATAGTGGAAAACATTCCATGTGATTTGAAGTGTGGTTGACTCATGGGCTTCTAGAGGATTTGTGGCCCTGCTCGTTCCAAACTAAGGCGGCCGAGAAAGGGATTTGTTGCACAAGTGCTTCAACCATACGGACACCCAGTCAAACAAATATCCAGTAACCCGAATTTGTAGGCAAACGACAAAAAGAGAAATAAAGGAATCCACTGGGCGACAATCCACTGGTCTACTGCCTCAAAGGCCGGTGTTGGTGATATGAATCCGCCATGCCTCCCACATCCAGACCACCGGGCAACTTGACCCATCCGGCCCATCCATCCGTTCTGACTCGGAGGCCCGGCCCGTAGGTGCCGTGCCCGGGTCTTGGAGGTCGATGGGGAAGGCTGTCGCAACATGTCCCGGACCGCATGTTCGAAGCCGTCCCCGTGGCTGTACATGTCCTGTCCGATACTGATTCGAGCCAAGGGGACTTACGGTCCTGGCCTTTGACAGGCCTCAAACACGCCTAACAGCTTATGGTCGCTGGCTGAATTGGCTCCCCCTGCTATTGCTCTGAATGAGTCTATCATCTTGACCAGGGTGGCCCTCTCGCACCTGTGTTGGGAGCTTGGAATACTTCTCAAATATGGAAGTTGGAGGTATGGAGGGTCTCTCTACCCCCTGTAAATGCATGAGAGCATGTCAAACACATGTATGTGATATATGAGTATGTAAACTATACATTCCTATGCATATGTATATATAATTTTACCTATTATACACATATGTAGATATATGCGTATCCCTTGCTTCTGCCGCACAATTCATACATAAGGTCCATTTCCCTGGCATACCTCGGGGTATCATCCGATTGCCTTTCCAGCCTTCCAAGACTAAGATGTGTGTTTTGTTGTTTTTCTTTTGTTTTCACATATCAACATTATGATTACTTCTATTTGTGGGGGAACATGGCGGGCAAC